TAACAACATAGTAGAGATAATAAAGAAGGCTGTAATCAAATTCCAGTCGGACAGAAGAATCACCAAAAACGATAAGATTGGTGCAAGAACCAAACACCTAATGGGAGATAGAAAACTCACAGGAGACAATAGCTGCCAAAGACTAAAAGCAAGTTAAGACATTCGAAAACCCAACGCAGACCTGATTCATAAAACAATAGAGGAGAATAAAAGCAGGAAAGTGATTAGATCAAGACTAACATCTGTAATATCCAATATGAGGCAGACGCCATTATCACAGACCTACAAGGCCTACTGCAAGGAGCAGAGCAATTTTATCGCAAATTATACAGTAGCAGAAAACTGTAAGACGAACGTGCAAAACTGGAAAGAGAAAAGTTAGTTTTTAGGCCAACTCGTGCACAAGATCTCTGATAGTCTACCCGGTCTGCAGTAAGAACTACGTCATCTGCAAACCTCAGGTTGTTCAGATAATCCCTATTTATGTTGACTCCAATACTTCCCCAACTGTTGTTCTTCATGGCGCTCTGCAGCAGGACGGAAAATATTTTTGGAGAGATCGTGTCTCCTTGTCTAAAAGCTTTCTCCAACGTGAATTTGTTTGTGTCGCCATAATACAATTGCAATGCAAATTGTAAGGCAGTGTCGAACTTTTGAGCTCGTATCATTTATTGTTTCTGAACAATCAATAGAATCTTTGGCATAGAGCGTTGTTTTCTTGAATATTGAACATTTTAGTTGTCGTTGTGAACCGTTTTCTTTAATCTTTTAGCTAATGGACCATGTTTTTTTAAGTTCTTCAAACATGTAAATGGTTGAAAATATTAAAGTTCATGTAACACATTGCATATTTCAAGGCCAATCAAGAACTGGAAATTCACTAGAGTACACGACAAACCTGGACGGCATATGCCAAAATCAAAGACATGTTGGCAATGGACATCCCCTCCATCTCAAAACGGAATTATACAATCAGTCTATTCTACCAGTGACCAATTCTACCAGTAAAGCAATACTTGACAAGATCAAAGTTAATCAGAGGGCTATCAAGAGAAGGATGCTGGGTATATAACTGAAGGACCGGAAGGCAAATGAGTGGATCATGGAAACAACGAAGGTGTCAGACGCCGTAAAATTTGCCGCCCCCATAAGTGAAATTGGGCGGGACACGTCGCAAGAAGCGAAGACAAGTGGAGGAGTAGGATAATAAGATGGAGGCAATAGAGTGGCAGAAGGAGTTTGGGAACACCGCAAATGAGGTGGAGCGACGACCTGAAATGAGTGGCTGGGCTAAACTGGTACCAGATGGCTCAATACCGAAATGGCAAAAGGATATGAAAAAATTTTATCTCTTAAGAACTGTCCAGAATTTCAACCTGGTTGAAGGTTGTCCTAAATATTGATCAAGTGTTGGAAACTACGAAAATATCCAAGGTGTTCCATTCAGAGCAACCAAATTGTTGCTTACTTCCAGTAGCCTAGGTTACTTCCAGTAACCTAGTGTTTAAAAATCAAAAATATCTTCTTCAAATCGAGGATTTCGAAATAAGTCAGCTAACATAATTCCAAATCTGTACCTTGACTAGTTTTCCATATATTAATAGAATAATCTCATTATGCAATTCCCTGTAAATGGACAAACGGTTTTTGTGACGAAAACATTTAAACCGGCGTCCATAATAAACTCACAATTTCAAAACTAGATGGTTATATTGATTATACAAAATAATGTATATACTTTCCTTAACCGAATTTTATTAGTTAATTTAAAATAGCTATTTACGTACTAAGGGCGCCACTGCGATTGTAATGCCCTGAAGGTTGAACTAGTCTAGACCTAGGCTTTGGCTTGATGAGCATTATAGTCACCTTCATTGTGGTTGCCTCATAGTTCACTTAATGGGTATACATCAATTACTTATAGTTAAAAATATGAAGTATGGTACAACAATCCAAAAAAATGTTTAGCATCATCAGTGCAAAACTGCTTAAGATGTTACAAGTCTTTCCACTTTTTCAGATTAATTGGCGCCGGCTAGAGCTGCCGTGACAGCGCGGAAAAAACCTATCACGTTTTTGCTATGTTTTGCATTGATTTTCAGCATTTTTGTGATGAATGAAATTATTTCCTTGGGAATAACTTTTACATTAACCGCAATATTTTCAATTAGTCTGGATTATTTCATTCTAATTTTTAAGCACAATTTTTTTGTCTGGGTTTCTATCAGGTAGGCAACTGACTTGCAACGTTTTTGCCGTGAAATATTCAATTGGCTGAACGATTTTGTAGCGAATTTTGAGGATATTATTCTCGTTAGAGCTCTTAGTGCAAACTGATTTGTTGTTTATATATTTTAGTAGATATGTATGCAGTATGTTGCGTAGTTGCTCTTTCGTTCGGTCTCGATATTGCTTTGCATTTTAATGTAAACTATTTTTCTGGGTTTCATTTATTTCGACATCACAAATTATTAATTCTTTAAAAAACGTTTCGCTGTTTTTTCACGATCCTCAGTTAGTCTATAACAAATAATTGTTAGATCATTTTTATTCGAGTGGCTGTCTGTTTTTTACATCCGTCACATGTTTTACATGTCACCTGTCATTTTTCACATAAAATTTCAAAGACATAAAAAACGGTTAGACTTAGGTATATGATATTATACACAAAATACATTTAGAATTTTAGTAGAATTTTAAAATGTAATAATATATATGGTGTTCCGTTTAAAATAAGCAAGTTGATACCTATTTCCGGTATAACCGGAAGTATGGCTATCTTGAAAATATTTTAGATCGCTTGCCCCTAATGACTACGGTACACCCGCAAATTACAGTTTTGTCATTTGTCTGTATTGATATACTAATTCTTGTCCGTTTCAGAACAAAAATGTTAATTTTTTTATTTCATTATTTATTAGTTTATATTTAATTGTTTGCCTTTCATTTATTTGTTCATTCTTTGCATTTCAACCCTTGCAAAGAAAAGATAAGTGAAAGAGACATTTAAAAAGTGACAAACAATAAACAAATAAACAATATGATCGTGTTTCGTTTTTTTTAATTAAAATTCCACCATTTTAAAATGTTATAATAATGCATGTGTTAATGGCCAAAATGTTTTAACAATTGTTTGTTTTAGACTAACTAAACTACTAACTAACTAAAATTGGAAAAACACCAAAACGTTTTCTAAAGTGTTCATAATTTGTGATTTCGAAATAATTGACTGAAACTCAGGCAAATAGTTTTAATTAAAATTGGAAATACAGTCAGGAAAATTTACATGATTGCTTTGTATATTTTTGTGGTGGTTTTCCTGCTTGTTTTCTTGTCTCTGTGAGTGCGCGTTTTGCAATGTTTTATAACTTTAATTACTTTCGTTTTAAAGTTTTGTGCGGGTCAAATAAATTTTAGTTTCTGGTCTAGTATCTTTATACAGATTGTTCCTAAAAAATGTAAAGTTTTCCACTTACAATCTTAGTAAAGTAGAAGGAGTAAACTACCAATTTTCTCTCCAAAGCGTGTTCACTTTAAAAAATACTACTGTATTTTTTATTTTCCATTTTAACTTGTCTATACCTGAAACGAAAGCTTTTTACAGCTTAGTATTACAAAAATTTTCAATAATTACCAAATTTTCCATGATTTAGCGAAAAGAAAAAGTTTGCGTTATTAATTACGTAATAATTGTAAAAAGTATAATATATTTTCGTACATAATATATTATTTGGAGTGCAAGTAAAAGGTTTAAACAATTTTGTTAAATGCATAGAGGCAAATGGGACACACAAAAGGTTCGATTTTATTTTCACATACGTTTACTTTACATAGTATTAGTTTTATCACTACTTCTACAAAACTCTAAAAAGTGTTTTATATCAAAAACCGTAAAAGATTTCGAGAAAAACAAAGTATACCTTTTATGAAGCAAAAAATGGGTCTATCTAACTGCTTGATCCTATCCCCAAATTTGGAAACACCGGTAAATTTGTACAAATTACAAACGTTAATTTTGATCGTACCTATCCAATAATAAGATTTCTGATAAATTTCAAATTCAAAAAAACGATTATCCTGGCGTTATTTTCAACTTTATTTTCTAACTGGCCTTATTTTCAAATGTTCTCTACATCCTATCATTGTTAACCAACAATGGGACACCCTGTATATTATATGTCTCCATTAATAAATTTTAATTATTTTTTTATAGACCAAAGCCGCTTTAGCCAGACCTAAAATTTTCGAAATTATTACGTTTGTTCATGATACGTAGGTAATTATTTTTATCGCAATTTACAAGACTGAGTTGCACCTTATTTAGGACAAGTTGTATCTGAAAACATTAATCACTTATTTTTGAGAATGTCGTTCCGAATATGCAAAATAACGATTAGTACAGTTATTTTAATTAAATTAATATAATTAACAAAATGGCAAAAATAATGAAACGAAAAAGATCCCAAAGTACAACAGAGTCCTTATGTATTATAGTCTAACGTTCTAAATTAAATTAGTCGGTTAAAAATTATTACAGAATAAATTTTGGTTTAAAATAAGGGGGTTTAACAATATATTTTTTTATTTCACAAAATTAAATAATTAGTCTAACTATTTCATCCATAGTAACGCCGTAGGGTAAAAAAGTTATTAATAAACGGTACATCGATAATTTTCAAAAAAACTTACAGCGATAATTTCTCATTCTAACGCTCTTATTTCGCAAAATGTATTTTCATTCATCGTATGGCTACATAGACATTACAAAAATTGAATAAAAGTTCAATGTACAGTTAATTCAAAAACCATACTAAAATAGTAGAAACATTAATCAAAAAATATGAAGTATTAAAGTTTTTCGCTAAATAACTATTAATTGTTTTATGTTTGATTTCAAAGATTAAGTTCTCTAATAGTATTTTATAAGAATAAAGCAATTTTTTTGTTATAACACGAAAACAAAACAACCAAATCTAAATTAATTTAAAATAGAAACTTACCATTTTGTCGGTTTGAAAAGATGACACTGAAAATACGCGAAACTGAGGAGCTTGACAAGGAGCGGAAACAAAATAAGTTAAGTCACTCGATATCCGCGATGAGACAAGAGCGATTCGTTTATGACTTCCCAGTTCTTCGTGTTAGTTTTAAATCCTGGGCACTATGGCACACTCTAACACGAACAATGCGCATGATCTTTTTCATACCATACTGTTGTTTGCTACAATGCATCTTACCTACAGTGTAAACCCCTTTACATTATAATAATTGATCCAAAAATATGAACGACCTACGACTATTTTATATGCAAATATTACGCATTAATAGGTTTATTTCACTTAACGTTGGTTTTATAACGGTCTAAAATTATAATTATATTTTTTCCAATTAGTAAACTTAGATAGTGGTTAAAGTTACTCCTGAGATGTTAAGTTTGTTATAAATAGAACAACTGAAAATTTATCACTCTATTACCTACTTTTATTTAATTAAGTACGTTATTTCCAAACAAAAGCGTAATGCTGAAATCAATAAAATAATATCTATTTTTTCCTGTATTTTTTGAAGTTAGTTGAAGTACGAGAAAGGCAAACTAAAAAAACGACAAAAAAAGTAGAATAGAAACTGGAATAGACAGACTGATATGTGAAACAAAACAATTCTTCAATAAAAATTCAAATATATGTGTCCTAACAGCAGATGAATGTAATAAAACAGTACCTAATTATGCTTAAAAACGAATACCAAACAAAAATGTTAGCCTTACTAAATGACATCAATACATATGAACAGGAAAAAAAGATTTAACCAATAATTTACAAACAAAACTAAATAAAATAATAAATTTTTGGTGTAAACAGAACCACATAAACAAAACGAACACTGTACTGCAGTAACGGCGTTTAACCAATCTGTGGACAACCTAAATCCAGAGGAAATAGAAAATACCTTTGAAAACCCTTCCTTCTCAAATAGAGAACTAAATGACATGATGAACGAATGCCCATACGAATATAATGAATACCAAGAACCAACACATCTTGATTATCATCAGAATATGTCCGAATTTGATTCCAATTATGATTCTAACTACGACCCAAATTATGATGATACTAACAAATTCCAGGATTTTTCTAAAACTCAAAATTCAACAAACATAACATAATTAATGTAAACAATTACAATAATTCGGAACTACCAATAATTCATATTCCAGAATTAAATGCAACTTTCCTATTAGACACCGGTAGCGCAAAAAGTTTTATAAATCCACAACTAGCCCATCAAATTTACCCACAATGCATTTCACACGAATTATTCTCGGTAAAATCAG